TAAATTCCCTCTTCAGTTATTTAAAGCAACTTTTTGATCTCAAGTTTCTCCTTATTGAGGCTATAAATATCCTTGTCTCTTTCAGCTATTGCTCATTTACATGATGTCTGCACTCGAGAGCATAAGAATTGCAGACTTCCAAGCACGCTCAGGTTGTTGACATCAGTTTTAAATGGTGATGCCTTGAGTGCAATGATATAGCAATGATATAGTGGGTTTGGTCCCTGATGTAACTGGAGCCCTAAATTTTTAATAATTCTGTATGAATTAGGACTAAAGATGTAACAAGAAACTTGAGCTTCTAAGCACAGTGCTAACAAACTCAGACAAAGTATTAATAAATGAGGTCGAACTACATAAAATTGCTGATATTTGGTACAATAGGTCTCAAGAAATGACATTGATTATACAAAAACAGAAGTAGCAATAGCTAACAACTAGAGGGTCGGGCACTGTTCTAAGTGCTTTTTATTATTTACATCACATGACAGAAACTGACAGTTAAAACAGGTAAGTTTCACTTGATATGGGAGGGGCTGCTCTTAGGGAAGCCCTTTTACTGAATGTAGGCAGAGCTGCAGTTAAATTTCTTTTGGATGTCATTTCTTTCAGGGCTGGTTTTATCACAACCATCTATTATCCCTTGTACCTTTTTCAATTAGGCAAAACCACCAAGTGATATTCTGTACTTCTTATTTGTACATATTTCCTCTCCATCTTTCACTTAAGTGAGATACAGCATTTTTGTCAGTTTTGGTATTCATCTAATCATTTTATATTGAATAGTAGAAAAGACTGAGGTGTAGCCTTGTTGCTAAGACCTTAAATGAAGTCTAGGTCAATCATGGGATTTTCCTTACTCATGTACATAAATTTTAAGTCACAATATACCAAGAGCTCATGAAAAAAAATGATTCACACCTGAAGACTTCCATGCACCAAATTTCTGACACAGCCACATTTCCCCAACTCTGTTGGTACTGTCCCCATAGCTTATCATGAAAAGTGGGTTTTTATTATGGCAGAGGGGAACTTTACTGGGAATAATTATGAAATGCGTAATAATTGAAAATTTTTCCATGTTAAATAGCCTCGGTCAAAATATACCTCAGTGAGCCAGGCTGGAGAAGGCCATAGATGGCTCCTCCCGATTGCATATTAACATTATAACATAAGTAAATAAATCATTAAATCCTGTGGTCCTACGTGTACACGAATGTTCATTGCAGCACTGTTTACACTAGCAAGGACCTGGAACCAACCCAAATGCCCATCGACGATAGACTGGATAGGGAAAATGTGGCACATATACACCATGCAATATTATGCAGCCATCAAAAACGATGAGTTTGGGTCCTTTGTGGGGACATGGCTGAACCTGGAAACCATCATTCTCAGCAAACTGACAGAGGAACAGAAGATCAAACACCGCATGTTCTCACTCATAGGCGGGTGTTGAACAATGAGAGCACATGGACACAGGGAGGGGAGCACTACACACTGGGGTCAGTTGGGGGGAAATAGGGGAGGGACGGTGGGGGGTGGGAAGCTGGGGAGGGATAGCAGGGGGAGAGATGCCAGATGTAGGTGATGGGGAGGAAGGCAGCAAATCACACTGCCACGTGTGTTCCTATGCAACAATTTTGCATGTTCTTCACATGTACCCCAAAACCTAAAATGCAATAAAATAAATAAATGGGAAAAAAAAATCTACATTCTTAAAGTAACTATTAGCGATGTAATCATTTCCAATTCATTAAGGTAAATGAAAAGATAGAATTTTACATGCAAAAAAAAAAACATTCATTAGGTTCTTGAATGATAGTAACACTTCAAAGAGAATGAAGTCATTGTCATCAGCTATACTTTTTTTTTCCAATGACAGTGGCGTATCCTTATAGAATCTCAAAACACAAAATTGCTTTTATGTATAGTTTTAAATTAATACTGAATTTATCTTACAAGCACAGTTATTTTCAGTCTTTACTCTGCCATGGCATTATTGGTTGTGCACTCAACAAACATTACCCTGTATTTTTTCTTTCTAAGAGAATCCCAATTTTGAGTGCATGGCAAAGTTTCCAACATGCTATGCTTTTCATATTATCTTCCAATTGAATTTTCTTAGCTCTAAATCTTCTGTAGAGTTTCATGTAAATAATATGCAAAGCATAGCATATCGGAAAGAATATATTTATCAAGAGCTACCATAATTGCATAAAAATGACTATCATTGTAATACTATTAACAGGAATTAAAACTATCTTATGGAAAAAAAATAATAAAAAAAAAAAAATCCTGTGGTCCTTGGGTCCAGATTAATTTCTGCCATCTGCATATTATCTTGGGACCTTACAGAAAATACTGTGATGTGTGGATGTGTGTGTGTGTGTGTGTGTGTGTGTGTGTGTGTGTGTGTGTGTGACAGATCACTGACATTAGAAACAGTATTTAGAATGTTCTGGTCCTGAAAAACAGAAAAAATAGAATAGATTCTAAGAAATGATGGCCACTTTATAATGCTTAAAATAAAATAAGGCAGTAAGTATAGCCCCTACCCAAACACAAAGTAAACAGAATTCCTGGGGAAGATGGGAGCAGCGTGTTTGTGTGTTGGAGAATGTCTCATTGCATTTATTAGAGCAGTTGGATAAGGGAATGGCTTGTGGGTCAGGGAAAAATAGAAGCCACAGCATGAAACATGTGCTTTTGTGAATCAGTGTTTAGTTACTTTATATTTTACTTTGCTTCTGTCATTTATCATATTCACTATTTCTCATTGCTTTGTATTATCTGGAAGCTTGTCAAAACATATTTTTATTGAAGTCATTGCTAAAGTGTTGAAAATGACCAAATTGGAGCATTTTAAGACATAGTTCAGGAGGAATGTGCAGATTTTCATCAATCAATTAGGCAGCACCATTTTAAGAAATGTACTGTTCAATAAGTCATAAACCCCAACTAATTCCATTGTTTTCCATTGTTTTGGGCTATCATAAACCATTAAATTAATTGTGGATATGAAGATAATTGATATTATGTGTCTTCCCAACATTGCCTTTCCTTTCCAGAGTATATTAGTACCATAAGGAATAAAATGAGATTGGATTAGAATGTCTTTTTAACTTGTTTATATGTTTGGTGAACACAATCCGGATTCTAATGATTGCCTTAATTTTTCTAATGCTTGCTGCTATCCACTTAATAATTTAAATGTTTGCCTAATACTATGCTTATAATATTTTCTGTTTTTGAAAAATAAAAAAAAAAATCATGTTTCCAGTCTTCTAAAACATCTGTTTGATATCATTTTTAAAAGAGTAAAAGGATTCTGAAATAATATTTGCACATTCTGGGAGGTAAATTTATCCTAAAGAGGAAGCATACAATCATTTAGAACAACTCTGAGCTCTCATATAATCCCTTATCTCTTTTTTAGTTCAATTTCCTCATCAGTTTTAATTCTGCCTCGACCATTTGGAAACTTATTCTTCTTGATAAAGATGAAAACAAAATAGGAAAAGAAAAGGTATGGTTTATCCCACGGAATGAAAAGTAAATGGTTTTAAATGTAGTCTAGAAAATAAATGCTAAAAACTGTACTGAGGATTTTTTTTTTTAAATAACTAGTTCAGTTTAGTCTGAAAGCAAGACAAAAAAGTCCACAAGTAACATTTTTATTAAATACCCTTTGTCTATGAGTGATTCATGTCTATTCAAATGCCAATCAGAGTTTCAAAGGAAATGGAAGACTGAACTATTTAGCCTGGCAGTCAAATGAGGTAGATCTACTTTTCTTTTTACTTTTCAGATTGGATTGACTTGCATTTTAGCTAATTGACAGTGAAGACATATAGGACAGAAGTAATACAATTTTTAGTTGTGTAACTGCTAAGACTTAAGTCCAAAGATTGTAGGGAGTAGCAATCAACAACCTCAAGCACTTTGGCTATTCTCGCCGGCACTATCATTTATGTAGAGTCTAGTGAAACATTTCTAAAAACTTGAATGTTTCAGCAATTCCGTTATCACTTAGACTGAAGTATTTCCTTAGCCTGGAAAAACATATTTGTTAATATCTTGGAAACAGTGGCATTCTTTTTTAATTTTTTGATTTATTTTCTTCCTGGGCTTATTATGTATTTTTGCAGTTGAATTCTCATACTTTTAATTAAGGCTGCATGTTTTAGAACAAGATTTGTAATTTGCCTTTGGGAGGAGGTTGTAGAGACCTGTCAGCGACAAGGAAGCTGTTATCATTATACAAGAGCTCCAAGGAGCACATGGTCATTCCAAGCTACAACCATAGCTGACTACTCATGTGAAATGTGGCACTGAATTTGTGACATGGTAAAAGCCCCATAAAACTGCCTACCTCAACCATACCTCGGCTTTCTGTTGAAACTGCTTTTTGTAACCCTGATGTGACAGGCAAGCAGTCCAAACCCACACCATCTTGGCCCCTGCAACTTGTAATAAGTAACTTAAGGTCTGTAATTTCCACCCTCCTCAGGCAATGTGTAAACTAACCCTTATTTTAACTTTTGTGAACCACTTAAGTAACAATCAGAATGTCCAAAGTTCCTTGGCCCTTGGAATGTCTGAAGCCCCTCACCCCCACCCCTGCCCCTCATCCTCACCCCTGAGGTGTTTTACTGGCATAAAAGGTCTTGACACCCTCCTTTCAGGGCCACAGGTTGGAGAGACGCCAGTCCTTGGTGGCTGCTGGCAATAAAGACCCTGCAATTTGGCATACTTTTTTGTCTTGGTGGTGACTTTCTATGCTCGCTCCAGTACAACAAATTTATGTAACCAAGATGACTTTTCATTAGAAAATGTAGAAAAGAGGTGTAAAAGAAAGCAGTTAGGTAGAAACTGTATACATGACAAGCGTTTTAAAAAAGGGCAATACTTTTGGCTGAGGCATTTTGAAAACCATATTTATGAACAAGGAAACAAACTCTAGCTATGCAGAGGAAATCAACAATAAGCAAGCCTTTTTTGTTTTACGTTTTCATTTGCTTTGAAACCCAAAAAAGTTATTTTTCAAACAAATATTTTGGCTATTGACAAAGGCTAAACTCTAAGAATTGAAGAGCTTTAGAATTACTAGGATGAACTTTTGTTGTACTGGCTTGTGTTTTAAGTGTTTTAATTTTCAGTAACACAGTTCACTGGGAAGTAGAAGAGACACAACATGAAATTTAGTGCTTAAGAGAACATAAAATCCAAAAGGTTACTTTTGCAAAGGAATTATAAGGATTTCATACTATATATTTCTCAGAACTTCCCAACACAGTTTTAAAATTTAAAATAAGCATACTACACATGTCTTAAACTTAGGATTATCAATCGGAATTAAAAGTAGTCTACACAATTACACTGTGCCTTGTTGCAGGGGAAAAGATGATTATTTTTATTATGGTAAAATTAATTACGTGTTAAATTTGGGATGCAACTTCAAGGCAAATGCCACAGAGGATTTTGTACTTACGCATTTTTTTTTCTGTAATTTTGTCAATAGGCAGTTCCTCCTGCATAATGTGTGCTGTAAGCTAGCCATATGAAATAAACTACTTTGGCCTTAACTGAATGCTACTGTCTGTGGTACATTATAACCCTGGCCCGCTGATAATAAGCCTTACTTGGCAGTAATCTACATCCAGTGGCATTTGGAAAACTGCAATAATCATGATGAAATTAAAACCCCAGAATTTAAATAGCACATAGGTCAGTGTGCTGTAAAAATGTAGGTAGGAATAATAATGACCTCTAAAATGTTTGTGTTCATTGGTGAGGGCTGAGCTAATTAGGACAGAAAGTTGAAAACTATTTCTTTTCTGAATGTTTCAGGCAGAATGGCTGGAATAAACAGAAGCAAACTCAGAAGTTTTATCTTCTTTAAACATTAATGCACTCAATAATTTTGTATTTACAACTGTATACCATTTGATCTCTGTTGTCCCAGGTAGTTCTGAATTATGACTTTTTTGATTTAAGTGTTACTCACAGCAATAAAAATTGGACAATGTTTCTTCAGCAATCCTGGCAAGACTTGCCTTAGCGATATATACTAAGTTCAAAAAGCCTTTCTCAATCTATAGCTGTAAAAACGTATTGCCTGGTTAAAAATGTTGAAATGTGTTGGTCTAACTACCTGAATTCTATCTAAACTCACCATGATTTGTAATTTCTCAAGTGGAAATTTATCCAGGGACAGAAGAATCTAATTTCTTTTTCCTTTTCACAGACACAGGAAGAAAGGAGTTGTGCCTTTTATTGTTTTTATCAGTTGAGATTCATTAACCAAATTGAAAAATACCTTTATTCCAGGATTTCTCATTGATTTCTCTATGAATTATGATGCTTCAAGAGAGATTTGATATACAGTAAATTGATACATTTATATCAACTAATTTCATTATCAATCATTGTTAGTATCTCCAGGGACATCATTTCATGTATCCCAATTTGTGAAACACTAACCTAGTGATAATACTTTTTTATTATTTCAACCTAATCTGTCAAAAACTATACCTTGAATGCTCCCTGATGCACACTAATCTGGGTTAACTGGGTGTAACTGAAATGTCCTTAGCTACACAGAATAAAACTGATGGAAAAAAGGTTTTTCAATATCCAGATGCATCATATTCTGAAACGCAACCCATATAAACTTTCCATTGTTATAATGGCTGTGCTGTGTTCAGACTCTTAGTGCATAGAATAATTACTGCATTTTCAAGTCCACCATTATTAAAGTCAATTCCTTAGATCCCTTATTTTATTATAACAATGACTGGATCATCATTGGTTTATCTTTTATAACTAAATGACAAGTTGAACCTCTAGGTGACATTTTATTTTACATAGAAAGCAGCAATAAAACATTCCATCTTTTTTAGGATAGTAGGATAGGTCTAAAGGATTTAGAAGAGAAAAAACAGTGTTTATATTTTGGATGTCAGTTGAACAGTTAGTAGACATCAAATAAACGAAAGGGAAAGTATATACCATCAGTATTTTTAGGATGATATCATCAAAAAATTATTAACTGTTTCATTGATCAACTTTATTTTTCCTTTACTGTAAAAATCAGCTGTCAGTCCATTTTTCGACAGCTCAATGACTTTGAGTCTTTCTCCAAAGGTAAGAAATGCCATACAGGTGCACAGTTGTCCAGCAGCTGAGATCGTTTTATTCAAATAATTAGCTTTTTCATTCTTTCAAATCCTCAACAATATTGACATTCAAATGAACAAAGTGAGTAATTTCCTAGGGTCATATTTTACCCTCCAGCCATGTAGAAAAGAAAGAATTTAGACATAATTTAGACCAAAAGGGCCTGGTATACAATAGATAAGTAAGACATATTTTGAATAAATTAATAATTAGACTTTTCCATAGCTTGGACAATTTGTGAATTAACTACTTCACTACTAGCCTTAAAATACAATCTCAAATATGTACTATATTTTCAATCTTCAATAATATATATCTGGCATTATATTAAACTTTAGACATAATTCTTACCATAAATTTTTACCTGGGTCCATTGTCTAGAACTTGACAAATGAGTAATTCCTTTTTTTGCTCTTACTATAAGAAACAGCAACCCCTTGCTTTATTTGTACATTAAAGGAAAAAAGGAATTAGATTCTCCTATCCATGGGTGAATTTCTACTCGGAATTTCTAATTCCGAATCACATATTAGGGAATTAGGTGATATGATTAGTCACATACCAAATGTGAGTTGGCCTATGCAGTATAGTCTCAAAGTCAACTGGCTAGCTCTTGCTTGTTTAGGCAACCAATCTACCGATATAAATCAGTACAGTGATCTATTTCAGAGGCTGAGCTGATTTTTGCATGCTCCTCCTGCATAGCAGCGAGATGAGCACACAGTAGGCATCTGAAAAAGATATGAGAATGATAAAACATCTATCAGTACTAAGACACATTACAAATATAGACCTGCTGGTACTTTCAACTATTTTATGTAACATAAACTCAGCTTTGACAGAGTACTTTTTTAAAAAAGCAAATTTTTTTGGAGATTACAAAATCGAAAAGTTCTAGAGAGATTCATCAATTCTATTCTTTTCTCTTTATGACTGTTTTCTTCTTTACGGTAAATTATCAAAATGCATCAAGGGCCATCCTGATACAGAAGCACTCAATTAACATGAAAATGTAACAGTTAACAAAAAAAGGAAAGTTAGAAAAGATAAAAAACCTCTTAGCCTTGACCCATTTTACTTCTTTCTTGGGCATACAGACACATACTAATATTCATACCTGTGCTAAATATAAAAATACCTGAGAGTAGCTGCATGGAGCCCAGTTTTCTATAGGCAGCCTTTTCCTTTCTCCTTCTCTATATGCATTGACATATAAAAAGTAAGAGCAAACTAAAGAGTTCTTTTTAAATGTAACTTCCTTTTTGAAAATATGCATATAAAACTACGCATTTTAGTTTTCATGATAACTGACATTCTGTAAATTCAAATATGCATTTTCTACATTACAATATTACCCAAGGAAAAAAACAACAAAAAAAGGAAGTGACTGTGTAGGAGTAAGCAGGAATAGAACAGTCCCAGTATTGTACCATTCCCACAGTGCTTCAGGATTGTCTTTTAGATTTCCAATTTTAAATCACTTCTATTCCTATCACAGTTCATAAAAGTAGGTGAAAATTTGAATCTCAATTTTCTCATTTAAAAAAATTCACCTCCTTCATCGTCACCATGCTTGAGTTTCAAGGAAGCTTCTCATACCAATTGCAAATATTATGATGACACATTTTATTTGTTTTCATCAGTTCGGATTGTAAATTTTCTTTCTAAATTAGCACTTATAGTTGAAGTTTCTCTTTTACTTTATATACATTGTTATATAGGAATTAGGTTATATATGCAATTGGTGATCAACTGAGTTCTGCATTTATTTGCTTAATATTTGGTCAACATATGGAACAAGTTTCTTATTATTTATTTTGCAAATATTAATATAATTTTTGACCTAAGTAATATATAATATATTATAATTTTTGACCTAAGTAATATATAATATATCTAGTCAGTCATGAGTAATACATACTTTGCTTGGTATACATTCTCTCTACCTTTTAAACAACTCTGCAAATACGATCTAATTGTTTTCATTTTGCAAAAGAATTAACAGGTTTTCCAAGAAGTTCTGTAACTTGCCCAAGGCCACATTGTCAGTAAATGTTAAGCCTGGGATTTGAGCCTCTGTCTCTTTGGCAACAAAGTCCACACTCTTGAGGACAGGAAATTAAAAGTATGGAACACATGTTGACATTCATTATGTGAATGTTAATAGAATACGCCTCTGCTTTGAAAATATCCAAAGTGAAATATGGATAAAACAGAAGGCCACTATATGGGGTATCGATAAAATGATTGAATTTCACAAATTAATTCTTAAGCAAACAAGGTGTAAACCAGAGCCCTAATTAATATAAATGAAAGGAGAGACCAATGAAAGGACTAAATGACTTCTATCCTACTTTGTCCTGTGTCTCCCTGTCTCTTAGGCCACTGCCAACAAGAGTTGGCATGTTAAGACACTCACTGAATTTCTTACCCTTTTCCAGGGTTGTGGGGGCAGTTTCTACAAGACAGCCACAATTAAGTATAGCATGTGGTCACGAATGTCCAAGTAAGGACAAATAGAAGAGTGAAAGGACTTCTGGATCCTGGCTCATTCCAGTACCAGCATTTGGACCACGACGTTGACTTCTGCAAGTATAAAGAAAACATTACGTTTTCTTTATTGTACATAGTACGGGACCGATGGTACGCCACCAGGAAAAGTGGTAGACACTGGCAGCTAACAGTCTACTGAGCGCTTCTTGTCAGAGGGATCATGCTCACACATTAGTCTGCAGCTTGGTAATCAACACTATTTCCCCACAGCAAATAAAACTAAGTTTGGGGTAAGAGAAGAATAAACAGCAGTAGTAATCTCTGTACATACAATTTTCTAAGTAAACAAAAATAGAACATGTGTAAAAGTACTCTAAAATTGCCTGGCACATCACAGGCACTAAAAATGTGTTGGGCATTGAAGTGAAAGACTGATTAGTTTGATGTAGTATCTTTTTGTCTGTATACCATGGTTGTCAGTTTCTATTAAGAATCCCTGATGTTCTAGCCAAATTCATGTAAACGCTCCTCTGCATTCATCTTACAAATGTAGGCAGCATCTGCAAACTTGTCTTTTAGTTTTTTTTTTTTCTGCCTTGCTGAGGAAATTGGATTTGGAATGGAATTATAAATGTCCACGCATTTGTAGGCATTGCAGGTATGCCGTCTTGTATATATTTACTTTTCTGGTGGAAAAAGTCAAGCTTTTGTAAGTTAACTAACATGGCCAATATCACAGTAAATACTTGGCACAGCAGGGATTCAAAACCAAGTGTTTTACATGAAGGCAGAGGGTCCTTTCACTCTCTGCAGTACTTCAAATATTAAGCTTTGTAAGGAATTGGATTCTTTTGGTGTAAATCTTAATCATGCAAATTGTTGTACTTGGGTCACACAGTTGTGGAGGCCATGCAGGGCCCATAACTTTAGGGTGCTATTTACATGGTAGTGTATGCAAATGGGCTCCCAGAGCTGTGCATGGTACAGCCAACACATATGTACATAGAGGTTTGAGCTTTAGGAATGCCACCGTTTAAACAAACGTTCTTTGCTGTGCCCATGTGAGGTCACATAATATGAAATCAAAATTCTACTATAGAAAGTAGCAGTCCACACACTTGAATGAGAAAAAAAGAATCCTGGGTTTTTCAACAGAGAAAAAGCTCATTCAGAAGATCTGTGGTGGTTTATAGGTTTGTTTATAGATAATTTTGTTTGTATGTTTAACTTTCTTTAATTCCTTGAAGTAAAATAACCACTTTGGGATATTTTGTGTTTTTTTTTTTTTAAAGATACAACGACAGAAATAAACTCAGATAATAAAGATCTGTAACAGAGACCGCTTAGATGTTCACAAACTATTTCCTACATCTTTCTGGGCAGAAAGCTCCACTGCATCTCCCAGCTTTTCCTATTGGTAGGTGTGGCCATGTGAATGAGTTCTGGTTTATGGATTGTGGCTGGACATGATGCATAACAGCCCTAAAACAGGTCCTTAAATACATCCTGGGGGATGATCTGCTTTGCTTCTTCCCTGGTCTGCTGCAGAGAAACAAGGACAATGCGAAGGCAACAGGGAAAGGTAGATCCAATAGAAGCTCCTAGAACTCTGAGGCCTCCAGGGCCAGCCCTCGATTGTGACTGGACAATAAATAAATAAACATTTTTTAATGCCAAGCTACTGAAATGCTGGGGTTCTGTGTTCCAGTAGTTTTTCTACTCTGAATAATCTAAGGCCTATGCATAAGTATGTGTATATTGCCGTCTATTATTATTAACGTAGTAGTCAAAATCCAAGACTTCCACTGTGGCAGTATTCTACTATCACGAGTGACCATTTTATTCTGTTGTTTCTTACATTTTCTAAGGATCTCCGGATTTGCTGAAGCACCCCGATTCCCCTCACAAGTATTGATTTGCACGTAACGAATTGAATTGATCTTTACTTAGCCTACCTTGCAGTTTCAGCAATCGCCATAAAAAGTTATTTTCTGAACATCTTTCTTTAAAAAAAGAGTGAAACTTGTTCTACTATGTACATGAGTTTCAAACATCCTAAATATTTAGCATATAGGTTTTTTTATCCATTTGTAAAATATTTTGTCACGAAGATACAGAATAGAAATTTGAATTGTTTACTTACGCTTGCTACCAGTCTAAAGCTTATGACATTGCTATTCGTAGTGCATGTAAAAATTGTACTTTGTAGAAAACATTGCTATTGTTGGAGGTCTCATAACATTCTTCATTTCTAAGGCAAATAATGTGACACTGACATCAATGAAAGGGAAGCTTATGGTCTAAGTTGAGTCACTATTGGGCAATGAAAACTGCATACTTAAAAGATGAGTGTATTTACAATGGACAAATAAAAAAAGATTTATTGCCTTTATTAAAAACTTAGAAGCATAAATTATCAGGCCTGAAAAGTACCTGTTTAAAAATAAAATGTTGAATTTAACTGACTGATTCCCCTTCTACTAAAATGTAGAAATACTTTGGATGGAAATAATTTGTTTAAATCAATAGTTTCTAAATATCTCAAAACACTGGTCAATTTTAACTGCATTTTAAGTGTTAGTTGATAAAAGATTATTTTTACTAAATGTAAGAAGCCACTATATTCAAGAAATCCAGAAAGAAAGTTGATTACTAAAATAGATATATTTTTTTTCTGACCAATATTAGTACTAAGTGCATGAACAATCAATCCAGAAAAGACTGATGGTCAACAAAGCATTTCACAGAAAACCTGGTACTTTCCATATGTTATGATATGCAATGCATTAACTTGACTGCTAGCACACAGATTAAAAAATAAAAGCACACTTCATATTTGTCTGGAGTTTTTTCTTTTTTTTACACTACACTTAAATATTTCTTATATCCCTCAGCCTAATACAGTTTTATTCCAACTTTTATAAAGGTATCAAGAAAGCTTGATATATATCACATAAGGACATATTTAGAGTTAACACAAAAGATAATGGCAATAAGAGTGGCAAATACTATATGAACTATATGGTATCAGATTACATCAACATGAAATTATCTGCCAATACAGCATTCTCCTTGAGGTATTACGGTTTTTCCCTATGTCAGTGGTAGCCCTTCTGCTATAGGCTTTCTTCCTTCTTTCACTTACAGTGCCTCACAATTCTCATGACTGCTTAATTGTCTTTAAAAGATTTCACTCCTTGCTATGAAGGAGGCTCTCTGCATATCTATTCAATTTACAGCAAGTATTTAAAGAAAGGCAGATGGACAGGCAACAGCCATTTATTGAAGCACTGATTCCATTTAAGATGGTCTAAAACCCATTCTACTTTCCATCTAGCATAAGTAATGGCAACTTTTCCTTATTCTTTATGAGTACAAAGATGAAAATACACACCTAGAGGATTGTTGGATTCTTCTTGTTGTGGATAAATTACAGAGTAAAAGTCAGGAAGCATTCCTAATATGTGGCCACCAATGCTAGGTCTGTCACTAAGCTTTGTGACTGAGGAAATCAGAAGAACTAAAGTCATAAACTTATATGCTGTCAGAGGAGTAGGTACTCTGCTTTTTAGTTTGGACACTAAGCTTTCAAATTAGTTACTTGATTAGAATGCTTATGCTTATCAGTGTCCTGTTAATTTTTTCCCAATGAATTACATAATTATTTAATTAATCTTTCTGTGTGTATGTGTGGGTAATATGTACATACAAATACACACATATAGATCTCATATATAGTCATGTGAATATAAAATACATATTTATGGCAATTGCCTACAAATTTATAATAAATGTGGCACATCTCACCAGTTCCAATTAACAAAATAAATCTTAATGCTGTAACAAGTATATTATCAGTTGAAACCTTAATAATTCTAATCGAGACATACAATCTTACTTTCTAGCTTGTGTGTAAGCCATAAAAGTTACTGAAAACAATGGGAAAACATTATTTTGACGGGTGCCGTTATACAATAAATGTTCTTCTATTTTTGTTCCAAAGAGTACAATTACCGTTCTGAATAAGTGATTAGGGTGAAGTATCAAGGCATCACATCTCCTACAATTCACTTTTGTCATTAAAAGACACCTCTATGCCAAGACAAAATGATTGGTTATTTTATTTCTCTTAGTAACTTACCTCAAAGAGAATATTTAAAATGGTTCATTTAGCTCAATTATTTCTTTCTAATTTTTATCAACCGGCCAAAAATCTATTGAGCAAGTAGTTTATGTGTAGTAAAAGTCCCACCTTCACCCAACACAACCAATATATATTGGGAGTTCTACCATAAAAATTCTTCACCTCTTGCCTTGAGGTAGCCATCTTGCCATAAACTCCTTTCCCAACTAAATTTCTATATAGGAAATTAGGATACATCCCAACATTTTACCTCATCCATATCAAATATTTTTTTCTCCAGCGTGTGTGAGTCTACCAAACAAATAAATATGTGACAAGAAAATATCACCAGGAAGAAGAGCAATATTAGTAAAAAGTTATGGCCCTGAGAAATGTAATGTGAAGAAAATGTCAGCAAACACGTAACGGGTGGACAAAAGGCAGAAAAATGTAAGATTGGGAGGAAAAGTTAAGTTCAGCTTCTAAGAATAAGACCATGAATGAGGATATGAACAATTGAAGAGAGCATGCCCAGTAAAGTCTGGGAGTGTGAGTTCAAAGAGTTCAAGCAGGAAGACTCCTTTCTAACAGGTACACTGTTGGTGAGGGGGTGGGGAAAGGGCATTCATGTAGGACGTTTGCTGGAATTATAAACTGAGGCAATATTTAGAGAGCTATTTGGTAAGACTTAGCAAATTTTAAGTGTGGAATCTCTATAACCTGGTAATTTTGCATTTAGGAATGTGGAGTACAAAAATACACAATCAAAGGTGTGTGTCATATACGTCTGTAGTGTATTCACTACAATCTGCTTAAAATGGAGAAAAAAACTAACACGGACATAATTAAAGGTGCATTTATACTTTGGAATTCCACACCATATAGTTCTGAAAAATGCGCATTTGATCTTTAGATTTAGAAACACAGGGGAATATTCAAACATATGGTTGAGTGAAAACATTCAGCTGCAGAATATATGTAGTATGATTCAAAACAGATTCAAATGTGTAGTCTATGTTAGCATGTGCATAAACCAAAGAAAGGAATAAACAAGTTTAATTATGTTTACTTAACAGAGTGCTTTTTTGTTTCAGGTATTTTTAAAAAATCGATACTGATTGATTATAAAAAATAATAACACTGGGAAGAAAATACTTGATTTTAAGACAATGATAAGGAAAAATGAGAAGTTTGGGTTTGTTAAAATTCAACTTGAGGAGTTTAGAAGTGCAAATACACCATTTAGCTTAATATCATTTCTTTTGCAGGATTTAGAAATCTGGAAATATTTTTAAAGCACATAAATATAAGTTACACATTCTTAGTAACATTTTTGCCTATAGGACTTTTAAATTATGAAAATAAAAGTGCTTGTTAAAGTCATGAGTATATCACAAACATACTGCAAACAAGTTCAATCATAATAGAATTATGAAAATCAATATCTGTGTTCTTTACATCCTTGCATTGAAAGGAACCACCACTTGTGATAAACTTCTCATTGCCTCCCTTATGGTACTTAAATACTGGACCTGTAGAAAAATCAGAAATATTATTTTATGTGAGTATTCCTTTCCTTCATTTAAGAATATTTGCAGAAAATATTGAAAAATCAGACAACTAAAAATAGTCAAAATGTCTTTTGGAGAACTAGTTTTATGAAAATCCTAAATTATAATTATGATAAGTTTTTAAAAAAACCCTCAAAAGTGTCTACTTGAGTATGTAAGTCTAAAATGAAATAATGAGTTTGGAAACCAAAATTTAAAACGCCTATTAACATTTTCCTCCAATCCCCAGAGATATGGCACATTTGAAAGAGCCTGGTGAGCCCTTTGTTCAAACTCTAGGGTCAGGTTGGTTTAGGTCCAGAATGAAGTGCATGAAAAGCTAAGGAGAAAACCTACAAGGTACCTGCTTTCCTTATCCATGACTCTAGACAACCCGATGAGTGAGCAATTTCTACAAATAATGATTATCTGAATGCATCTCAGATTATCCTCAGAGTCTCAGTGGACTGTTTACATTACTTTTGTATCTTACTTAATATGTCATGTGTGGTCCACCCAATAACCCCTTACTTTAAGCCTTTTAGGGAAACGCAGAAAAATTCCTCCCCCTCACATGTAATGGCAGATGTCCAAGTATGGTCTCAGGGTACTGCTCTAATCCCTCACGATTTTTCTCTACATTTCTCATTTCTTCCTTTCTCTCTCTCTAAAGGTCTCCACTGGGCTTTTCTTGATTCTTTTCAAGCTTCTTTAACATGTGTGACGATCCCTGGCTTACACACAAGTATGGAAATTTGCAGTGCCAAAAGCTGACTCTATCAATACATTTGTTGATGAGAATTTAAAGAGGAAAAAGGTAAGAACTCCATAGGGGTAGTGCTAATTGATTTTCTTTATAAACACATAAGTAATTATACAAGTGACCATCTGCTTTGTCTGCATGAAGTTAATGAATACACAAAAGGAATCAAATTTAGAGCTTACTTAAATCTTAAATCCAACTGCCTAGATAGTTGCTTAGATCCGTCATAAGGCAAAAGAAAAAGTGCTCTCATCTGCAGGAAAAAGACAAACCAAAATAAATAGGACACTTTGTTTCTCTCGATGGGAAGCAGGGCAAAAAGTGTTATGTTGGTTGCAGTCTCAGAAAGCACAGAGCCAGGAAACTAATATATGGAATTATTTTCAAACATGACCCTGATATTTATTTAGCTAAACGGGGCCAAAATAATATAGAAGATAGTTAAATTCAATATTGCTATAGCAATTTAGCTATTTTACTTTAAAACTTGTTCATTTTGTTTGGCTCAGCGTTCCGGAAGACACATAGCTATTTCTTGTAGACAGTAATTTGGAATAAAAGACAAGAGCAGAAATTAATTCAAATGTTCACTGCTATAAAATACAACTCCCAGACTCCAACATTAAAAAGGAGATCTCTTCTATCATTTTTATTTTAATGGATAAACAAATATTATGTATATGGATACATATAAAGATTATAGATATAGATCTATAGATATGTAATAGAAAACTAAAGCTTTGTAAGCACAATATTTACTTCACCTGTTCAAGCTGGAACATTGAACATGTAGGATTGCAGATCCTCATTCTAAGATTTTTTTTCATGCGTAAAAGACATTTGGATTCATACATGTAATTTTCATAATTATAATAACTACTATTTCTAGAATTTTTACAAAAAGCCCTTTGGCCATTAATTAATTGGAAAAATAATTACTGACTTACTTTAGCAACACATCTTATGTGAGCTGCTGGATATCTGAACTGATCTAGAGCGTCCAGTTTCTTGATACTTAGAGTTAAGTGAATAAGTCAGAATTTGTAAGTGCAATTACAAATGCTGCAAGTATCCTAGGAGACAAGAGACAACAGTATACATAACTGGGAGCTCTGTTGGACAGTAAGTGGGTCAGCAAAGGGAAACCCAAGGAAACAACATTTAAGCTAATCATTGAAGAATCGCCAAGAGTTCAGGAAAGAAATCCTAGATTATAATTTAAGCTAATCATTTGAGCCCTAGATACTCTCCATTCTAACCCATCATGAATGGTTTTCATAAGGGAAAATACGTCTTTCAACATAGGAGAACACATTGAAATCTAAGTCATTATTACACTACAAAATTATTTTCACAAAATATATGACATATTGGAGGATGGCAATTTAAAATGCATTTTAATACAAATGTTTAATTTGTCCTTCTCCTTCAAGGAAAATTCAAAACAAAATCAAAACTATAATAGTAGGTATTGCTTAGAGTGGATAGAGTACAAGATTTAAATCTGCAGAGGAACCTCAGAGTACTGAGAATTTAAGGCTCCCCCATAGGTTGTCCCATCCCCACTGCTAGTCTTATTTCTAAATAGCTCCCTAAAATGTGATAAATTCTAGACAAATTATGCTGTGTATTACCCCCTGAGCCCCTCTGACTCTTCCATCTTTATATATGCTATATTTTTCCTTCCTCCATGCATTTCATACGCCACAAGGCCCATCTCATTGGTTACGTTTCCTTATACCCCAAACCAAATGACCACATTTCTCTACATACATGTTTACCATGACACATAGTCAAATTTGGCTTGCATTGTATTGTTCTATATAAGTAATTGTTGGATTCCCTCAGTAGACTAGAAGCTCCTACAAGGAGTAAACTCTGTCCTACTTATCTTTTCATATGCCATAGACTGTACCTTATTTAATATTTCGAATCCAAATGGATTCGATTAAATAGAACTGAATTAGTATGCAGCCCCTCACTCTAATTCAAATTTGAGATATTGTGGCCATTTTTTTTTCTCTGAAACCACTTAAGCAAAACGTTATCGTATCAATTTTTAAGCTCAGCTTCTGAAAATTTGGAACATTTTACATAATCTCATTTAAGTAAGACCATGTTTCACATCAGTGAATTTTACAAGTAACTCAAATCTTGTCGTTAGAGTTAGTGAGCCATAGAGGAAAGCTCATTGTGTGAGAGAAAACATCATTCATTCAGTCTTTGCCTCACCAAATACACATTATGCCGCTTGCATATGTCCATAACCATTCTAAATGATAGGGATATAA